ATAAGGGTGCTAAGGGTCAGAGCCAAAGGCAACGCTGTGAACTTGCCGGGACCTCTGGGCAGATAGCTACACTGGCTTATCGCGGGGGAGAGTGCTCCCCCAGCTACCAGAGCCCAGCTGCAGCCTTCTCCTCCCATTCCTGCCCGCACTGCCACCCCTCATGCCCCTGCTCCCAAAGGCTCTGGCAGGCATGGACACTCCCCGCCTGGCAGGAACCTCGGCTCAGCACATCCAAGGAGAGCCCTCTCAAATATCACTTTGCTATTTCAAACCCACCAAGGATGCTGGACCCCTGCCACTGAGCCACAAATACCTCTGCTCCCATGCACGCCCAGGACTCTTAACCAACCCAGGACTCTTAACCAATCTCACTGGAGACACCGGCTCACGGCAGGGGGCGGATGGGGTCAGCAGGGACCTGCTGGGCCGGAGCACAGGGTAAGGGAGCCAGCCTCACTGAGAGACACCGACTCAGGCTCACAACAGCAGAGGTCTTCAGAGTAGGGAAACTGAGGATCAAGACTCGCCAAGGTCATGGGACTCCATGTCCACTACACACAGTTCTTCACTGGGGATCACAGAGAGGTTTAGAATTTGGGGCAGCAGTCTGTGAATCTCCTTTCTCATGTACAGTCTCCTTTGTGGGGAAACATGCATTTTCTGGAAGGAAAGGCAACAGCTTCTATCACATTTCCCTGCCAAAGAGCCAGTGCACCATAACAAACTCCCTTCCCAGAGCCCAGGTCCCACCTCTGCCACTCAGGAACTTCAGTCTAATTCTCTGCTAGATTCCCTTCTTCAGTGAACATACATGGGCACACTCTGAGTCAAAAACAAACACCTTCCCTCTACCCCTTGGCTACATGCCCTTGAACGAAGTATCTAAACCCCAAGCTTCAGTTTCCTCATCTGTGAAATGGGGATAAAATTTGACCAACAAGGCAGCAGCGAGGCCAAACCACAACCACATACAGAAAAAGTGCTATGAAAGTACAGCAACATGAGCTGTGCACAAAACCATCACTGCTCTCTGGCTCCTTCCGCTCAGACACCACTTCAGGGCCTTATCTGCTCCACGCGTTTCTGGCCACCAAAAGGAAAACACGAAATCAGCTACCACAAGGGAAAGGCTGCTGGTGGTTGAGAAGGCACCCAAGACCCTTCTACCACCCCCAGACTCTGTGAACACGGTGGCCAGGACACCACTGGGCCCGCAGTGAGAGACACAGTTGGGAGTGTCTGTTCCACAAAGGCCAGAACCCAGACAACAAAGTCTGAGAAACCCCACAGGGACCCCAAGGGCTTTCATCAACACTCTCAGAACCACTGCTCTGGCCGGAGGGGAACAGGAAGGAAACCATAGGCAGGGTCCCTGTGAGCCTCCTCCATGGCCTCAAGACTCTTCTGTCTACGGACAAACCAATTTCTCAAAAAAGTCCACTCCATTATGAATCCCCCCACGCTCCCCATTATACGTGGTCGACATCAGGGCACTAGGGCTTATGAACAATGAGCCAAGAAACCCGAAGTTGCCAGATGTGTGGGGGGAAAATAGACTGTGACTCAAATAAAAACTCACCAATTCAAAGAAAATTTAAACCCCCTCCCTGCTGAGTCATCCAGCTCATTCCAGGCCCTATAGCCTGGCCTGGCCCTGAGACGAGCCTTTGAGATCACCCTGATCCACCAGGAAGAGGAGACAACCTGCCAGGAACACAAATCATTTCCCTCCGAGAGCTGAGACCTGGATGTTCCGAGGGACAGAGGTCTCCTCCAGCCCCGCAGGAATCCGGCGCCCCCTCCTCACCCTGCCCAACAAGCACTTACTACTCACTACCCAAGGCCCGACCTGGTACCTGGGCTCCACAGACTCTCCTCCATGAGAATCTCTGAATCTCCTTGATCAAAAATGAAGGCCAGTTATTGTACACTCTTATTTATATTCCACTTCATCTTCTAAAAAAGGATTTAAGTACCCAGTTAACACATTAAATCACCTGGCTCAAGATCAGCCAGCAAACATGAAGTCACCAAAAGAACACCCTCCAGTATATTCCCTGGGCTGTTCCAGACCAGGTTACTTGGAGACCCTAAATTACCTATTTTTTCTTACCCCCATAGTTCCTTACCCCTTCATTTAATTAGCATGCATGCCTACTATGTGTAAGACATTGTGAGCTACGGAGATGAATAGCTCTGTGAATGAATGGTCTCTGGCACGAAAAACACTAATTCACTGTGGTTGGAAAGACAAACCTGAATGAGAAGTTAGTCAGAATAGGTGCAGACAAATGACGCTGTGGACCTGTGAAACCGAACCTCGGCGCAGTGAAGAGAACCAATTCTGGAGTCAGCTATGACCTGCGTTGAGATCCTAATTCTACCACCTACCAGCTGTAAATTAACCTCTCTGTGCCTCAGTTTCTCCATCTGCAAAATGAAGTTAACTGCCTTCTCTCATAGGGTCACTGAACCTACAGCATTCAGCACAGGGCCCAGCACACGAAAAGCCTCCAACAAAGGCTTTGTATAGGTGGTATTCACAGACACTGAGATTAAGGAGCAATCAGAGTACGCAGAAAACTATCATAAAAGTCCTCCACAACAGAGAACTTAAAAGATGGATAGTACATGAATGGATAAAATAGGCATATGTTCCAGACCAGAGTCCAGAGCAAGAAGAAATATGGGCTAACTAGATGGTAGCCATAGCAAGGTATAAAACACATGAAGATCTGAGAAAACAAAGATAAAAGAGGGGTCCTTTTCTTAGTTTTCTTAAATAGTTCTTCATTTTCCACTCACTTCTTCGTCTTCCCAGCAACTCTTAACTCCTTCACAACAGAGATGTTCCTTCCCTGCCCCCATTCATCACGCCTTCCCTCCTCCCACGTGACCTGACTCCCGGGCCACATAAGAGCAAGTGGATTCTAATCCCCAAAAAAAAGGGTTTGAACCCTAAAATCTGTGAATCCTGGACCTCAGTGTGACTTCATCTCTTAGTAGCATCTTCTAAATGTCTATACCAACCTCAGGAATCTCTATACAATTCTGCCGCCATTCCTTAAACAAATTGCTAAAAGCACACCGGAGCAAGCTTTCATAGTCACCATATTGTTTCAAGGTGGCGACCAAACCACAAACTGCCAGAGTCTCATATTATTTACTAGAACATTAAACTAAGTTAAAAATCATAACCTTTCTGAAAGATAGCTTCAAAGACAGCACAGACCCCTATCTCAAGAGATTGACTTGAAATAGGCACACCTACCCATCCCCCCACTCTAAAATAAAACTATTTGCATAGCAGTGAAGACTGGCCACACAGGAACTGGCTGTCCATAGGTTTAAAAAAAAAGCGCAACTGCAATTCAGCCCCTAGAGGCAACCAATCGATGTGTCTCTTACATCGATGTTTCTCTCTTTCTCTCCCTCCCACGGTATCTGAAAATAAATGGAAAAATATCCTTGGGTGAGGATTAAAGGGAAAAAAAAAGCACAAGACTTTTACTAGGTAGAAAGGTTACATTCACCAACTGTTTTCTATGCCTAATATACCTTTTAGCCTCCTCCCCCAACCCAGCTCAGAAAACCCTATGATCATCGCCACAGATGTTCCCAGAAGAATCACATCACAAGTGAGCCAGTCACCTCACCTTTCACTGCTAAAACTTTACACGACTGTAAGTACCATCCTCCAGCTTTTCATTCTCAGTCCTGGGGGGAGCCTGAGACCTGGTGAGTTTCCTCGGCATTCCACTCCACGGGCACCGGCACTACCTTTTCGGTCACAGCTGAATTTCATCACACTGAACATTCTCAAAACCTGGCAGCCTCCAGCTGAGTTTCTAACTCCTCATTACAGAAAAAATGTTCACCATAAAGATATTCCTGGTAATGGGATTTGACCACTTGTGAAACTCAACCAGTTTTGGTGTCCTAGGTCAGTTTCAAACTCTGCATACAGGGGACGCCAATGGCCTGGCCAAGTGGGTGGGCCTTGATGACAATCAGAAAACCGACTTCCATGTCCTAGAGTTTGGGCACCATTCCTTTCCACTTCACGCAGAAGTGTAAGATAAAACAGATCACCTCTTACGTACATGTGTGCGCACAGATAGGCACACATACACTTAACTTTCTCCAAGGCCAAAGGGAAGTAGACTGGCAGGAGGCTGGGAAGACCGTCAGATACTTCCCCTTCCATCACCTGTTTCAAGTGACCATAAAGTCTGATACAAACCCAAGTTTGGAGTCCAATTTTTTTTTTTTTTTTTTTTTGAGGGGGGCTGCCATGTAAGATGGACATGGGGCAGGCATCTCACCTATAAGCATTTCATAAATTTTAAGAACTCATCCAAGTAGAGGCTAAATGATAGCACAGAAAGCACTACAATGTGATGACATGAAGCATGTTCACAAGGATATTTTGAACACAGGTTCTGGACCAGCCAAGGACCTCAAAGCACACATTATCTCAGTGGACTCAACATGAGTCCCCCACCAAACCGAAAACAAACACCCAAAACATAAGTTGAAAGATCACTCCCTGGAAAGTAATGCAAGAGACCATTTCACCAAATTCTCACTCTTCACTCCTTCTACTCCAAAATACAAGTTTCATACTTGCTTTTTTTCTTTTTGGCTGTGGTCCATTTTTTTCTTAAACCAACACCAAAGAGGCTCAGTCCCCTCCCAGTTAACTGTCCACTCTGAACATAAACCTCACATGGCTGAACCCTGCTCAATGCCATTTAATTCTCCAGATAAGTATCTATACACTCTTTTGCATAATTACAACATTATGAAACACCATTCACCAACTCAGAACAGTGCTGGAGGAGGGTACAGGGCAAGGGCAGCAGGGAGGTGGGCAGAGAAGGAAGGCAAGGAGAAAACAAAACCCAGTGCCAATTGGCCGTGTGTTTGCTTTCAGTCCTAAAGAAGTTAGAGCTATCCAACCCTGTAATTATTGCCAGGATTAAAATTTTGTTACTCACGTAATCATGAAAGGCTTTTGCTTCACTTGAATGTTCACAAGTGTCTCGCCTTTCAGGAGCTGCACAGTAAAGGTCCCAAAATACGCTGCAAGTTGAAAAATAAAATAAGATCAGGTTACTAATTATGACTTGTGTACACAACGGCAAGTGCACAATGCTCCGTGCTAACAGCACCATGTCTCCCAAAGGCTCAATCCCTCCTTTCCAGCCTTCATTAGGCAAACTTGGCCTAGAAAACAAAATGGACCGAACCTCTTCTGGCAAGCCAGCTATTTGTAACCAGAGTAATAGTTCTCATCTATCAGGCACCTACTGTGTGCTAAATGCCTTACACCTATGATTCTGCTTGTGGCTACCACAGGGCTTAAAATAGGAAGTTCATCCCCTTTATACAGAGGGCACTGGAGCTCAGACAAGTTAGTACAACCCACTCATGGATGCCCAGACAGGACAGGTAGGAATCTGGATGAGAATCCATGCATCTCCTCTGTGTTCCTTTTACTGCACTCTCTAACCCAAAATGGCTGCATTTAGGTAAGAGGTTAAATTGTCAAAGTCAGGACTAGGATTCATATACATAGCAAACTGGGTGATTCTGCCAATAAAAGAAACCTAAAGGCTCTTAATCCAGAAACCCATACCCCCACCCCCTCAGACCTCACCCCCCACCACCAGCCAGGCCCTCTCCCAAGGTATTCTTATCCAAGAACCACGTCCTCCCACCCCACCAAAGAACAAGTACCAATTAGCCAAACGTCAGCTAAGTATCTTGTCCTTTCGTATTGAAATAGAGAGCCCTCCTCAGAGAGGCACCTGTCCACCTGTCCAGCAAAAGGGGGACATGGTAGGGGGGCATTCAATATTCCTGCCTCATATCCCTCCATAATTTTGTATGGTCATGCTAACACTCTGTATTACACGAGAACAGACATACAAGTCCTTTGTCGACCCTATGCAAACAGGGATAGTCATTGTATTAACAAGAGGCCTTAGAAATCCTCTCCAAGTCAAGAGCCCAAGGCCCAGGGATGGGAACTGACTGAAGGGTAAAATGGGCACCAGAGCAGAAGTCTGAGCCCTGGTCCAGAATCCTGTCCCTGTGGCAAAGAGCCAGCACAGAAGAAACCATCTCAACCTCAGCTCTGCCAGTCATCAGACAAGCATCTCACTCAAGGTGTACGAATAACACAGCCTGGCCCTCTTTGAATCAGCTCCACTTCCTCCCACCCCCAAAGCCATGGTCTTTTGCTCAGTGACAAATCATGAGGCGCTTTCTAACAAACAAGACCACTGCCTGAGCCAGAACCACAGACAAGGCTGGAGAAGTTTCAGGGAGGTTATGGACAGAACAGGAAAATCAGGGACTTCTACTAGCAGCAGAGTGGGGCTCAAGAACATTCCTTTCTATCCTCTGAAGCTGCACATATTTGATTAACTCCTCCACACACCAAAGATTTCTAACATTACAAACTCCCCAGCCCCTTCTAAGTAACTTACAAGCCTAGGTTTCTGAAAAACCCATGACAAGCAGAACAGCCAACCCCATTCACACTTTTCTCCAAAAACCACCACAGAAAACCTATCACCCACTCCGACAGGTAGAATCCCTACGACACACCAAATGCCTCCAACACCTGGCAGTTCCGAGGCTGGCTGAAGTAATTAAAAACTCATTTTCCCTGTACAAGGTAGGACACTTCATCCCCCTGCATTTCAAAGAGACCTGAAACAGTAACCTGAGCTGGTGGTCAGGTAAACACGATAAGATCCCCAAGACATGGCACTCCGTTTTCCTGAACTCCACCAAAATATCAAAAGCCACTCAGCTTTCTTTTCCTTTTCAAAGGATGTCAAAGACTCCTCACGGATCAGTCACACAAAACACCCAGGTCTTCCTCCTACAGCAACTGGCTCCCAATTGGTTCCTGCTGACCTTAAGCCTTCCTTCTGCCTGTAGGCAAACCAAGACCAGACTGAGGTGGTCCCACACCAGCAGGACCCAGGGGCCTGGGAGAGGGTGACAAATAAGAGAGCTCCTAACTAGCAACTACAGGCACTCTGTGAGGTCAACAGCGACAAGTTAAGGTTCTCAGTAAAATGAAACTTTGTGGTTTTAGGGATGCTGGGAGGGGGGAGCCCACAGAGGAGAGGAAGGTCCAGTCCGTCTGAATCAGTATCTCTAAAGGAAGTGGCAGCCCCTTCTTGCTTTTTCAAAGGGTGCCTGGAAAAGGCCCCAGTAGATTCTCTCTCTCTCTTAAGGTTTTGAGCCCATAGTAAAAAAAAAGAAAGAAAGGATAGGCCAGTTGTAGAACAGACCTGGTATCCCCTCCACCCCGCCCCACACCCACTCCCTCTAATTAAAGCAGCATGCAGAATTGACAAAAATCCTTCAAGGTTTTTTCAAGCCTGCCTAGTGCACTGGAGTCAGATTTTGGAAAAGTAAGGCGTTTCTAGCCAAACACCAGGCATGATTTAGTAGACTCTCAATAGGAGGGGAAAGAGGAAGCAAAAACTTGAGGCACCAGCCTCTTCTGCCCTTTTCCTTCTTCACTGGTCCTGGTCTGAGAGCCCAGAGGCACCCTGCTCTGTGCAATGCTGAGGGGAAGGCATGTGGGGGTCTGCTCCAGGCCTCCCGTCTTTGTTCACTTGCACCAGGGACTCAGACAAAACACACACACACACACACACACACACAAACTTACCACCACCACGAGTGCAAAAACCCAGGCGGTTCTCCCAACGTGATGTTTTTTTCCCATCGAATCTAGAAAGGAGAGAGCAGAGATAGCTTAGAGGAGCAGAGGGAAGGGGGTGGGCTGGGGGCTTCCTGGAGCCAAAAGGCTGTGAAGACCAACTAACAATAAATGCCAAAAGGTGATAAAAATTCAAAATGGTGGCCACAGTGGCTGCTCCTGAAAACAAAGGCTCTAAGAATAGTGGGGAGGAGGGGGTGTCAAGAAATTGGATGATGGTGGGAGTTCCACTCACCTCTGACAAGAAGGTCTGTGCAGATTTCTGTGCTCCTACGTGCAGTAAATATTCGTAGACGTATAAAGCTAACCTGGAAAGTAGGCAGGGGGCACGAGAGAGAGAGGGAAGGTGTCAGATCACACGGGGCAATCGCTCCTGGACCTTGCCAGCCGGTTTCTAACCCTGTCTGCACAATTGTGGCCCCGACCAGACGTGAGCAGCTAGCTGGGCCCTGCCTGGAGCTGCGGGTGGAAGCAGCTAGGGGCTGGGTATCAGGGAACACGTTACCTCAAACCCTGGGGGCCGGGGGAACAGCCCCCAAACTTGAACTTCCAAGTGGCGTCTGGGCCAAACACACCTAAGTCTCTCAAACTCAAAAGCCACCCGATCCCAGAGCCCCCCTCCTTTTTCCGACCCACTCCCTGCCACCCTCTGCCCAGCTTTGAGTCCGGGAACACTTAGTTCTGGACTCCGGGGTGCTTGGTGAGTTCTGGTGTGGGCAGCACAGCGCTGCCCTCACCAACCCCCCCCCCAAGCAACTGTCCCCCAAGCCTAGGGCCAACCGGCGCCGCCGTCCCTGCCCAGCCCGGCGCCCCGGAGGACACGGGGCCGGCGGTGAGGTCGAGGGCTGGGAAGGGAGAGCGCTCCCGGCCGAACAAAGCCCCCGGTACATACTCTTCACGCCGCGGGCGGACAAAAGGAGCCTTCGGGGCTGCAGAAGCCACGCGCCCCCTGCCCGCGCCCGGTGGGCAAAGTGCGGCCACCACAACGAGCGCCCCGAGTGGGGCGGCCGCCCCGGCTCGCTCGCGGGACTTCACCCACCCCTCACCGCGGGCCCCCACGCCCGGCACGCCCCGCGGCCACCAAGTGGCCCCTTCCCTGGCGGCGCCTCCCGCCGCCCCTTCCCCGATGCCCCAACCTCAGCCAGCTCCCAACAATGGGCTCTCCCACGCCGCCCGCCGCGGCCCCGGGGACGGGGCCAGGCAGGCGGCGCCGGGGCCCGGGGCGCAGCAGCCCCCACCCGCCCACCTGCCTCCCACCGCCCGCCCGCAGCCCCGGCGGCCACTTGGAAAATAGGGCTTACTTTTCCCGAGCCTGCCCGTCCGAGGGCACCGCCGAGCCTTTGCCTTTGGCAAACATGGTTTGCAGAGAAGAGGGCGCCGAGCCTCGCCGCCGCCGCTACCGCTCCGGCTGCACCCGAGCTGCCCCTCGCTCCCGGCCCCCTCCCCGGCGCTCGCCCGCTCGCTCGCTCGCGCTCTCCTAGCCGCGCTCCCCTCCCTCCCCCCCAGGCGCTGGCTCCGCGCTCTTTCCAGCTGTCAAAGCGTCAGCCCCGGCCGCGGCCCCATCGCCCTGGAACTCCTCCCGCGCCGGCTCGGCCTGGGGTGCCGGTGCCGCCGCCGCCGCTCGTCCGCCGGCCCGGCTGCCCGCTGGCTCGCTCGTGCGCCCGCCCGCCCGGCTCCGCCTGCGCCGCCCTCTGCGCCTCCGGCACCGCTGCTGCCGCCGCTGCCGCTGGTCTACTTGGAGCTCAACCGAACGTGGCTACCCGGTCGAAGGAGCAAGGCGGGCGTCAACGTCCCGCGATTGATAGCCACTCCGGCCAATAGGCGCGAGGGGGCGGGCCCGGGGCGGCCCGGGAGGACGCCCTGTCAGCGCCCAGCCGCGGCAGTCCCCGCTGCGGCCACCTCCGTGGAGCCGCTGCCCTGCTCCTGCGGGCGGACCGGGGGCGCGAGCCTCTCTTTTCTGTAGATGTGGGGAGGGGGCACGAGTCAAGGTGGGGAAACTGATCTCCCCACCCCAGCGAGGAGGGGATTTGACCAGTGCTCTCTGCGGCGTGGACGATTGGGGGTGGGCGGGGGGGTTGCGGCAGTGTCGGAGGGGAGGGGGCACGGACCCCTAAGCCCAACACTGTCGGTCCCCTCCCTCCACGTCCCTCTCTCTTATCTGCCCCTCACCTCCCCCAGCCGCGGCGCGCAGCAGCCCTACCCTTATCTCCCCCTCCCCTACGCCTGGCTTCCCCCCGGGCTCCGACTCCGACCACCTCCTCCGACTACAATCCGCCCCCCACCCCCAGCAGCCCCGCCCCCGTTCCTCCCTCTCGCCCAGTCTGGTTTCTGAGCGCCCGGCCCCGGGCTCCACGCTGCGAGCTGGGCGGCTAGAGCCGGCGCCGGGGCGCGCGGCTTCTCCTTTACTAGATCATTAAAATACTTTGGAAAGCCCCAAAGTGGAGCCGCGCGAAAATGGCCTTTGGTTTGCTTTGGGAGCCTGGGGGAGGGAACGGGGGACTTGGGCTAAGATAAGGGAGAGTGCCCCCTAATTCCTAAGATCGGTCAGCACTGGCAAGTTAGCCCCTTGGCGTGGGGAGACAGTGCCATTCCGAGGTAGGGGGCGTCACCTGGGCGCCCAGCGACGCGGAATGCGCGCCACATAAATCTGCAAACTTCAAATAAATGGAGCTAAATTGGGGAGTGGGTGACGAGAGTCAGGCGTGGGGGGAGGGGAAGCTTCCATTGTCAGTGACCCAGGTGTACAATGGGAAATTGAGGGGAGGCTGGCAGAGTGACCCAGCTATTTGCTGCTGACTCTTTTCTGCCCACGCCGAGAACCCCGAGGACACACTGTGAGTCCCTTATTAGAGACTCATAAGACAAGAACCCAGCGAAACAGGGAGGACTCCCCCATTTTCAGAATGTTTTTAGAGCGCGGTTCTCTTTAAATGTGATAAAACACTGTAGGCACTGTCTCTTTAAAAGAGTCAAGCAGAAAAAGCTGTGTAAGCGCTGATTGGCTGCCTGTTTGGATACATCTTTAGGGGAGCCTTGAAACTGTTAGCCTAGGTTGATTTTTTTTTTTTTTAACTGCGCTGTTCCAATAAACAAGTAACGCCCCTCCCCCTAACATGCCTAGCTCCAAACAATTAAAGGATAGGTCAGTGTCCTGGGGAAAACACGTTTCTAATAGGAAAACTCAGAACTAGATTTAAACAAAATAAAGAATAATTACCTGCTATTAAAGTTTGCTTATTTTGATCTGTAGAAGAGAGAAAAGGGGCTTTTAAAAGAAATGCCCCGCAGCAAACAGATCGGCATTGGTTCAGAAAGGAGACGCTGGGTGCATTTTTGGAATAATGTTCTACTCAATGTAACAGCCTCCCTAAATTAGAATACAGCCAGGCCCTAGGGACGCCTCTGGAGGCACTCTGTTCTCTGCTGGGACCAGGAGCTCTCAGGAGAAGACAGAAGAAGGGAAACACTGAATGTTAGTCTATGGTTGACTCTGCTTAGCCCCTAGTTTAAAGGTTGTTTTGTGAATGAGAGGCATGGAGGTTGGGAGGGAGTTGAAATACAACGATAAGGGAGAGAAGGAAATAATTACAGTTATTTTTTTCCCTAGGCGGTTTAATTTAATAGGGCTAACTTAAGGTACCTTAGAGCCCACACTAATTAAATTGGACTGCTCATACCCTTCCCCTGGACTTCTATTTTTGATGGGCTAGGAATGGCCAGGGATGGCTTGTCAACAGACTTGACTCATAAGAAGCCTGACTCATCTTGGATCTGCAAGGCCCACAAATTATGAGTATTGGTTAGGTGCTGGCTGAAGGAAAACACTGCCCTTCTAGTCATGGACACTACCAAATTGGCCATGCCCTAGCAATGTCAGGGCTGCAGCACCGGCATACAGAATCTGTTTGTGCACCATTTTCTTCATCTACCAAATGGGAAAGGGGGTTAAGAGATCTTTACTATCTCTTGAGTCTCTAATGTTCTGTGATGCTGGTTTCCCTTCTATAGTCTTCTTTTATCATCTGCCGTCCTGAAAAAAAAAAAAAAAAAAAGGACTAGCACCTCCTTCCAGGCCCTGTGTGGCAAGAAGAGAGGGATTGCTTTGGATGAATCTGTGCCAGGCAGTCTGCCCCTTTGCTGGGGCTTGATACAAAATGAGGTCCAATGTCAGTAGGTTCCTGGTGAGTGGGAGGGCCCAGGCAGAGAGAGCGGGAAGCCCCAGCCTGTGGGAGAGAAGGGAGCTGATGAGTTCCTGGGAAGCAGGTCTACTCAGCAGCCCAACTAAGTCTGCAGGCACTGGCACAAGGATCCAAAATGCAGTCACATAAGAAGCAAGCCCAGACACCAAGGAACAGTATTCAAAACCCCAACCTATCTTTCCCCACTCTATCCCCTAGTCCCCACCTTCCCTGGACCACAGCTTTGGGGGACTGATTTCTCCTTGGAGTGCCTCCCACCTCAATCCCCTTCTTTGACCATTCCATTCCTTAAGACTGACATCCCCTCCAATGCCATCTCCTCCACAACCCCTGCAAAACCCCACCCCTGTCCACTTTTCATTCCTGGAGCAAAACCCATCCCTCTGCTTGGTCTCATTTTGTTTGAAGCTACATAGTAGCTCCCTTTTCATTCTGCCTATTGCTGTAGCCAGTTGTTTACTGTCCCTCTCCTCAGCCAGACTGGGGGGTGGGAGGGACTAATTCTGAGTCATCTGTTTGTCTCCAGCACCCAGCATAGGTTTAATACCTGTGTGTATGTTAACATACAATATAAACACCAGCGGCTGTAGGGACCACAAGAGGAAAAATGGTCCCAATCCTCACAGTAGCTCTGGGCCCTGTGGGGAGATAAGAAATGGACACCACCAATAATAGGATTAGATGAGAACACTGCCCCAACCCCACCCACCTAAGCTACTGGCCACCTAGAACTGCTGTACTTTCCCTTCCCAGAATGCACCGAGGGGTTTCACACATCCACCCTAGACTCATTCTCTCTTTCTTGAGACTCTCTCCTCCTCCACTTCTCTCTCCCTGACCCCCTCCCTCCTCCTTCTCTCTCTCTCCTTCCCTTCTTTTTTTTCTTTCTTTGAAGCTATGTTTATTGAGCATCTTCTATGTACCAAGCACTGGGGCAATAAGCCAAACAAAATTTCTTACGTGTGGAGCTTACATTGTTATGAAATTCTCTGCCCAAAAACCTCTTCCTGTAACAGACTCCTACTGATTCTTTTAAAATCCAGCCTGGACAGTTAGCACCTTCTCCAGGAAGCCCTCTCTGAGCTCCCAGTCTGGGCCAGATGGTCCCTAGTGGCCCCTGTGCCCCCCTGACCACAGCTATTGCTATTGGCAACACTGCATGGGTGTGGTCATGTGTGCATTTCCCCCCATGAAATGAAATGTGAGCTCTTCCTGGCCAGGGAATGATGGCCATTCACCTGTGGCCCTCCAGTCCCCAGAAACCATGGTAAAAGGAACAGAAGTGAGTAGCAGTGACCAGAACGTGAAGAGACAGGCAGGTGAGGTGGGAGAGGAGGAGAGGTAAACTCCTAGCTTAGACTAGAATGGCCACGCTTTCTTTCAGCTGCCAGAAATTGGGGGGCAGAAATCCTGGGTTCCGGCATCAGGTTGGCAGGGGACAGGCCTCCAGAAGGTGGCAGTTAAAGGAAAGGGATTTCAGCCCTGGCCGCTTTGGCTCAGTGGTTAGAGCATCGGCCTGCGGTCCTGAGAGACCCGGGTTCGGTTCCCGCTAAGGGCAAATACCTCCTGGTTGGTCGTGTGGGTGACAGCCACTCGATGGGTCCCTTTCACATCGACGTTTCTCTCTCTCTCTCTCTTCCTCTCTCCCTCCCACTCTACCTGAACAAAAAAATGGAAAAAATGTCTTCAGGTGAAGATAAAAAAAAAAAAAGGAAAGGGATTTCAAGCCCATAGGCTCAACCCAGGAGGTTGTGCCTGCCAAGGATGCTAGTCTCCTCTGTGGTTCCAGCTGGTCTGTCAGTATCCTTCACAGCTGCTGGGAGGGTGGGCCCCCTGGGGGGCTGTTCAAATGGACACTGAGCATGCAGCCCATCCCCCTCCCGCCCACAGCATGCTGGGTCCTGGAATTTTATGGAGACAACTATGGTCAAAACCTTGGGCTGCTTGGCCAAGGGAGGCCTGGACCCAGGCCGGTCAGCCTGGTTTTAGCAGAAGTTCCCCCAAGGGGATGGGGACTGTATGGGGGAGAATGCAAAATCCAGCACCCAGAGGCCTGGCTTCAACCTGGCTTAGGGGCTGGCCAGTGGACGTTGGGCAGGTATGTCCCCTCTCTGATCCTGTCTGGGAAAGGAGGATGTTAACACCTATGTCACAGGCAGACCGGAAGGCACGGATAGGGAACTACCTGCTGGGCTGTCGGGAGGGTTGGCCCATCCTGGGTGCTCAGCGCCTCTGGACAATAGAGCATTGCTGCTTTGAAGGCTGTTCAGAGGCTCAGAGGAGATAATAATGGGGGAAACGTTTTGTAAGTTAAAAAAGTTCTTATTCCTGATGTTATTAGCATAGCAGAGTCAGCAAACAAAGAGGTGCTAAGGAAGAAGGTAGTTTAAAATCAAGTGTTTTGAAATGTCTTCTGCCTGTCCTGAGCCAACTTGCCATAGCAAAATGGTTTTAGGCATTTTCTTGAATGGGTTTAGATCTATCTAGAGAGCACCTACTGCCCTGGCTGGTTTGGCTCAGCAGTAGA